AGCAATCTTGATTCACTCACTCAATAAAGATATTGACATATAAAATGATGTGTGTGTGTTTATTGTTAAATAAGACTATCGATATTTCTTAAAAACATAGGAGAACCTTCATCTGACCTGACCGTATTTATGTTAATAGTGCCTATGGGGCCCATGGAAGGGTTTCCAGCCCTCACCTTGATTATTCATCAGCCCACACTTCTGGGCCCTGCTTTGCCGACCTGTGACAGTCTCATTGTCACAGGTCGGCTAGAACTATGAGGTGAGTGAAAAGCATTCACCTCATAGTTCTCCTTTAAGATTGAACACTTTGTGGCCTTAATAAGCTCCTATTGTCATTATTACTATGACATCTGTTTTAATTCATACCCCCTCCTAAATGGCAAGACACAGTGGAATTGGAGTGCTCAACGAATACCTTTTAACTCATGTCTCAGCTGTGTGACCCTTCTTCTTTCAACTATGTGTAACTGTAAGTCACCTCTTTGCCCTAGTACACCCTGTACCTAATCTTATAGTTGTATACCTCGAAATAAACAAATAAAAGTAATGTGAAATAATAGTCCCTACGGTCTGTCTGTAAACCTTCCTCAATGCTAAATAGTCAAACCTACATCAGGAAAAAAGCAAGTGGTTCAGATTTTCCTGGTCCATCATTAATTTTTCCACTGTGACAGGTTTGCTCCCGCAATGGTTACCTTGCCCTCTCCAAAGGTGTAAACATGCAACTTCATCCAATGCAAAGATACGTCTAGTGTCTGTAGGCATCTAGACTTGAAGATCAGATCATATTTTAGGAATCGTTTCTGCAGTAATCTCACAACTGTGTATACCAGTCTTTGGTCCTGTGGTTCGGTGACCTGAAACTTGTGTAAAGGATATATGTTCTTTTTTTCTAAAATTAAAAATATATACATATATAACCACGTAGATCCTATGAGCTGAATGGTCACTTACCACCTCTAGGTCTGGCTGGGACCAGCAGAGTATGCATTCAGGGTTCCATTTTCCTACTACAGTCCAGAATATGTAGTTAAAGGAGAACTATGGGGTTATTAGCATTCATGGGGCTCCATACAGCCTTCCTAATTCTTTGATTTGTGGTTGTGGCAAAATTGCATGGGGGCGGAAGAGCTTTACGTCTTGGCCTATGTACAGAGTGCAGGTGTCAGGAGTATGTAATGCACAGAGAGCAGGTGTCAGGAGTATGTTATACACAGAGTGCAAGTGTCAGGGGTATGTAATGTACAGTGGTGTCAGGAGTATGTAATGCACAGAGAGCAGGTGTCAGGAGTATGTTATACACAGAGTGCAAGTGTCAGGGGTATGTAATGCACAGAGTGCAGGTGTCAGGAGTATGTAATACACAGAGTGCAGGTGTCAGGAGTATGTAATACACAGAGTGCAGGTGTCAGCAGTATGTAATACACAGAGTGCAGGTGTCAGGAGTATGTAATACACAGAGTGCAGGTGTCAGGAGTATGCAATGTACAGAGTGCAGGTGTCAGGAATATGTTATACACAGAGTGCAAGTGTCAGGGGTATGTAATGTACAGAGTGCAGGTGTCAGGAGTATGTTATACACAAAGTGCAGGTGTCAAGAGTATGTAATGTACAGAGTGCAGGTGTCAGGAGTATGTTATACACAGAGTGCAGGTGTCAGGAGTATGTAATGTACAGAGTGCAGGTGTCAGGAGTATGTAATGTACAGAGTGCAGGTGTCAGGAGTATGTAATGTACAGAGTGCAAGTGTCAGGAGTATGTAATGTACAGAGTGCAGGTGCCAGGAGTATGTTATATACAGAGTGCAGGTGTCAGGAGTATGTCATGTACAGAGTGCAGGTGTCAGGAGTATGTAATGTACAGAGTGCAGGTGTCAGGAGTATGTAATGTACAGAGTGCAGGTGTCAGGAGTATGTAATGTACAGAGTGCAAGTGTCAGGAGTATGTAATGTACAGAGTGCAGGTGCCAGGAGTATGTTATATACAGAGTGCAGGTGTCAGGAGTATGTCATGTACAGAGTGCAGGTGTCAGGAGTATGTCATGTACAGAGTGCAGGTGTCAGGAGTATGTTATAGACAGAGTGCAGATGTCAGGAGTATGTAATGTACAGAGGGCAGCTGTCAGGAGTATGTTATAGACAGAGTGCAGGTGTCAGGAGCATGCTATAGACAGAGTGCAAGTGTCAGGAGTAAGTAATGTACAGAGTGCAGGTGTTAGAAGTATGTCATGTAGAGTGCAGGTGTCATGAGTATGTAATACACAGAGTGCAAGTGTCAGGAGTATGTAATGTAAAGAGTGCAGGTGTCAGGAGTATGTAATGTACAGAGTGCATGTGTCAGGAGTATGTAATGTACAGAGTGCATGTGTCAGGAGTATGTAATGTACAGAGTGCATGTGTCAGGAGTATGTAATGTACAGAGTGCAGGTGTCAGGAGTATGTAATGTACAGAGTGCAAGTGTCAGGAGTAAGTAATGTACAGAGTGCAGGTGTTAGGAGTACGCAATACACAGAGTACAGGTGTTAGAAGTATGTCATGTAGAGTGCAGGTGTCATGAGTATGTAATACACAGAGTGCAAGTGTCAGGAGTATGTAACGTAAAGAGTGCAGGTGTCAGGAGTACAGGTGAAACTCGAAAAATTAGAATATCGTGGAAAAGTTCATTTATTTCACTAATGCAACTTAGCCGTCTACCAGGAGATTTTGGAGCACTTCATGCTTTCTTCCGCAGACGAGCTCTATTGGGATGCTGACTTCATTTTCCAGCAGGACTTGGCACCTGCCCACACTGCCAAAACTTTTCTGAGATTGTGGACCTGGTTTTCATGAGCTGTAAGCCATAATCATCACAATTATGACAAATCACAGCTTGAACTATCTTGCTTTGCATGTAATGAGTCTATCTCATATATTAGTTTCACCTTTTAAGTTGCATTAGTGAAATAAATGAACTTTTGCATGATATTCTAATTTTTCGAGTTTCCCCTGTATGTAATGTACAGAGTGCAGGTGTCAGGAGTATGTAATGTACAGAGTGCAAGTGTCAGGAGTAAGTAATGCTCAGAGTGCAGGTGTCATGAGTATGTAATACACAGAGTGCAAATGTCAGGAGTATGTAATGTAAAGAGTTCAGGTGTCAGGAGTATGTAATGTACAGAGTGCAGGTGTCAGAAGTATGTAATGCACAGAGTTCAGGTGTGAGGAGTAATCTAATGCACAGAGTGCAGGCGTCAGGAGTATGTAATGCACAGAGTTCAGGTGTGAGGAGTAATCTAATGTACAGAGTGCAGGTGTCAGGACTATGTAATGCTCAGAGTGCAGGTGCCATGAGTATGTATTGCACAGGGTGCAGGTGTCAGGAGTATGTAATACACAGAGTTCAGATGTTAGGAATATGTAATTCACAGAGTGCAGGTGTCAGAAGTATGTAATGCACAGAGTTCAGGTGTGAGGAGTATGTAATACACAGAGTGCAAGTGTCAGGAGTATGTAATGTAAAGAGTTCATGTGTCAGGAGTATGTAATTGCAGAAATGCAGAAGTCAGGCATTGTCAAGGAGATCTGGGTCAAGGCAGCAGAATACTGGAACAGGCAGAAGCACAGGAACACAAACTGTGCTGAAAGACCATTCAGCAATGATCCAAAGGACTGGCAGGTTTAAATAGAGCCATCTATTCAGGGAAGCTGCGTCATTTACTGTGCGCCATGTTAGCGCGACTTTGCGCGCACGTTCCGTTGCGCGCATGTTTCCCGCAAATGCGGAAGACAGGCCTACGCACATGCACAGAAGCATCCGCATGGCCAGGTATAATCTTACACCTAATGTACCCAAAACTAAGAAAAGCTTTTGGCATAAAGTGCCACAAAGTGAAAACTTTCCCCGAGCTGCTCACTAAGTAGTAGCAGCATTGTCACCATATGATGCGCTTTGAACTACAAGCTGTTTTGTTAATCCAGCAATGCACCAAATAGGGATTTGTATGTTAGATACAAATGTATTTTTGGAATAGGATTGAATTATACTTTATTTGCCATAACTGTGCTTAAAGTAGCATTAAACCCTTCTTGTTTTTATTGACAAGTATTAATTCACACAAGGACAACCTACAGCAGCCACCATATTTTAGAATGATTCCCCATTCTCTTGGAAGTTGCTACTTGTAGATGTAGGCTCACTCCTTCAACTTCTGGTTGTGTAGGACAGGTAGCATGGGGAGCGAGCACTGTAGCGGTCACATGACCACTTAAGTCAGCAGTACTTTGTCCCTTATCCTGCTGATAGCACTGTGCACGCGCACTCCTGTCCCAGGCCCACCCATGTCAACTTTACAATCTCTCTGTTAGGCTCCCTTCACACATGAGCGGTTTTCATAAAAAAGAATGCATTTTATTGTGCATTGTTCATACTATTTCAGGGAACGTGCAATACAAAACCGCGCGTCCTGCAAAATAGTCCAAGCACAATTTCAGGATTCCCCACGTTTGCGGCTATAGTAAAATGCAAATGAGCGGAATCTGCGCAGATGTAAAGATTTTTGCGTTTTTGTGCCGTCCGGTCTTCCGCATGGGAAACGCAAACGCTATATGTGAATGAAGACTAACACATTTGATATAACAGCGCATTTGCACCCTTCCCGAGTAAAAGTGTGCACACTCACATCACATGACCACCCCCATTTCTAGTGCTGTAAGAACAAGATGCATGCATGCAAGTCACACACATAAGGGTGGCTCTACTGGACCCTGCAAGGCAGTAGATCCACCCTCAAGACGGTAGTGGAGTACAGAACAGAGAGACTGCAAAGAAATGACAGGCTGCACACAGAAAGCAAAGAGCAAACATGGCAAGTCCTACAGAATGTTGCTATATATCACGTTACATTGAGGGGTTTAATATGAAGGAGCCACACCATCCCAGAGCATCACTACTGCTACAATATGATTAGAAGGCAAATGGCGGAGCACCTGTCATACTATCCCTGCACAACGGTGACGTCATCAGCTCGCTCTTAAATGGGCCAAAAAGAGGCGGGGCATGTGGCAGCTGCTTGTGAGGCTGCACGGTACTGGCTGTGCGGTGCTCCATCTCTGCAGGTATTCGGTGCTCCATCGCTGCAGGTATTCGGTGCTCACTGTGCACCTCTCGTCCATTGTTCTTCCTTTTCCCGTCTGATGTTTTGTACTGTGATCAGCATGGGCTGCAGACACAGTGTTCCTAACCCATCGAATATAAATCGTACAGAAGGTTACCGTGCCCCCTGCTGGCCAGAGATGAGATCCACACTGCTAGATCGGCTGCAGCTGTAATATGGACCTACACCCACTTCCCATAGTATGGCTCCTTTCACACAATTGTTAACCAGCTCTGGTTATTTCTTACCTAGGCGAGTCTATCATAGTCCCCAGGAGCCTGTAGCTTCATGAGACCATCAGCAGGCTTTCAGGGCAATCTGCAGCACATGTGATGTGGTATCTCATCAGGGGCCTGACTGCAAAAACCAGGAAGAGACATTCAGCTCCCAATGAGTACAGAACCAGGTGTGCAGCGGCAGAATTTAGCAGAACGCTGGATTTGCTGGGTGTGTGTTTTGAGGCTAACCCAGGGAATAAGGTAAAAGGGGACTGAAATACAAAAATAACACAAAGGGAAATCCCTGTTTAAGGGCTTGTTTACACTATCCTCTATGCAAAAACGCTGAGCTGTTTCAGAGATTTACACTTTTTTTTCCAACTTTATTTGGTGTGCACCAAGTGTGTACTCCATTCAGTCCTCACAGCAGTGAGATGTGGTGACCTGCGATGCCACCAATTGTACTGTGAAAAGTATGCAGCATGCCTGCAATTTCATAATTCCTACATGACACCTGCGTGCGTTTTCTATGTGACTGGTGTTGGATCAGATTCTGAAAAATGCAATTAATGTCTATTGGTGTGTATGAACCCAATTCACCCAAACCCATACAATCTGTGACTATTACCCCTCCCTACTGGGCCAATCAGTTGCGGCTGGGGCATTCCCTGCCCCACAGCTGCACATCACAAAGGGGCAGGAAATAACTTGGGCACAACTGATGGGGCTGGGAGGCAGTGTGTTAGTCAGTTTAGCCCAGGCTTGGGTGAACTCTGGCCAACTGGGTTTGCACCAAGTCCCTGCTCATCATTAGTGTGAATGAGCCTTAATATGTTGCAGTGCCACTGAATTTGAATGGCATTCCTAATGAATCTCCAGTGTACCTGTGCTGCAACACATCGCAGTGCACCACAATACTTGCTTTGTGGTGTGCTGCAATATAATGCTGTATAAAGTTTTTAAGTAGGTGGAGGAGCTCATTAATTATGAATGTGCTGGCTAACTTCATAATAATGGCACAGTGTTGCGTAGCACAAATGAGTCTTTAAATTTTCTCACCGCACACCTTTATCTGACTGTCCATTTATCTGACTGATTAGATACAGATTTATTGAATAGGTTGGGTCCTCATGTTGCATAATTTTGGTAATTCTAAGGCGAAATGTACAAAGATTGTACAATCAGAATGTAACCTATGTGGTTTTTCCCCATAGACTGATTTCCCCCATTCCTGTTCCAGTGACAACTCAAAATGTTGGCTTTTCCTTCGCTTTTAGTCCTAGTGTAAGCGGTGCCTAGGACAAATAGAGAGGGCGATCTCCCCAGTGGTGACAAGATGGCAATAAAAATTTGATGGTTTTTTTGGGCTTGTCTCTAAAATGGCTTTAGATAACATTTTCCCTGCCAATGACCTAAAGGCATACGGCAGCACAAAAACGTTTTCAGCTGGTCAGCTCAGTATGCCTTACGTCACTGGTATTCCCCCTTCTGCTATAAGCTTTATAAGAGGGTGGTTTCCCTGACGGTTCTCTGTAATCGAATAGCTGTCGTGAGCCGCTGACAAGCTGCTGATGGCAGCTATTCATTCAGAATTGGCTTTCCTCCTCCCCCAAATAAGTAGCATCGTCTTTTTTATTCTACTGGTCCTCTACTTTCAGAAAACATATGGTTTGGGGTGGGTGGGGGTATTTTACAAACTCTAAAAACTGGGGGGAAAAATTGCAAAATTGGTCTGGCCAGCTGAGGTAAAAAAAATGGAACACGGCCTGGCAGCGAAAGGGTTAAGAGGAAGTTCAACCTTTTGCAAAAAATAATAAACGCACACTTATTAAAATAAAAAAAATGCATGTATTATTTTATTTGCATTGGAGCCAGTAAATAATTGCAACCATGATCAGTGGATTGCAGGTGCAGTGATCTGGCTCCTGCAGACTGTTTATCCCGTCCATGTCCATACTGAGGTATGTAGATTCAGTAACATGGACTGGAGGAAGGATGAACGGGCTATAAGTGCGCTGATGTCACTGTATTTGTATTATTTTGAGATTTATAAGTTCCTTTGTCGTGGTGGCTGGTTGGACTTGTAGTTTCTCCATTCACACATCCTTTGATGTAGCTGTTTGGGCAAAGCAATGCAAAGTTTATTGCTTCTGGCCTAATTCCCACAGCTTTACAGTCGCACGAATCCCTTCCATTGTAAAGCTGACGAGCAGCTTTATACATGTAAGCAATCCCTTGACTGTTATAGCAACTGGAAGTCTGCTTAGAGGGCCCTGCTGCTGCCACCGTATGGTGAAAATGTTATCAACAAACAAAAATATTCAGCCTTGGCTGCAGTACTTCTTGGTTTACTGACCTAGAACGACCATGCAGATTCAAAAGTCAATATAAAGTCAGAACTCCTGATCTGTTTACTTTTTCTTAGCCCTCGTTCACACCTGAACGTTTTGTAGCGCGTTCTACGCTCGACGAACGCTCTACAAAATGCTCAAAAATATAAATCCCATTGTATTCAATGGTCTCGTTCCCACCTTGGCGTATTTCCGCCCGTTGCGCATATGCAATACGCCTAGGTGTGAATGAGACCTTAGTGATTTGAAGTACTGAAGCCATTGAATCAGCATGGCACTCAGTGTTTTCAGAAGAGGAGGTCAGCAGTGGCAGACTCCTCTTCAGTATACACTGAGTGGCCAGACTATTATGACCACCTGACGTTTGTAGGCAAATTAGCTATAATTTCACTCTAAAGTTACTAGAGGGCCAGACCATTATAAATAGGGAAGCAGGTTGTTTACCACGACAGTAGAAGTGATTTTTTTCCCCTGAAGATATGGGTAAACAACGCGATTTAACAGCCTTTGAACGTGGGATGATTGTTGGCGCTCAGAGCCATGGAGCGAGTATCAGCAAAACAGCAGAATTCGTTAAATGTTCCAGAGCAGCTGTTTGTTAAAGTGTTTAAAGACTGGACTGTCAGCCGAAAATCTGGGTCTGAACGTGCGAATTGTGGCCGTCAGCGACTAGTCAATGTTAGGGCAGAACGGAGAGTGGCAAGACTGGTACAAGACAACAGAAGGGCAACAGTGCAGTGTCAGATTCCTCGCATCACCTTTCAACATCTCGTGGAGTCACGAGGCGGCCCAACGAAGTCATCTCGTGGCCCAACAACTTACTGATGGGGTGGTCATAATAATCTGGCCACTCGGTTTATATATCATACGTACTATCAAGTCTCGAGTGTTCTGCAAGCTCCAAAACCGAGCTGAATTTTGTACAAATGTCCATTGAAAATAATTATTTGGAGCATTTGATTTTACGATTCATCAACGAGTCAAGTAATCTTGAAATACCTTCAATTTTGTCTAGATCTGCTACTGCAATGGAATCTCAGGCGTATTAAATAGGTTTTGTTTGTGCCTAGAATCACATTCACAGTTAAAATAAAATCTAAAAATCACATTCACAGTTAGAATTTCAATCATTCGGAATAAGAAACAAGACATTTCTCATCCCGCCCCTTCAATTTCCCTCGTCACTATGGTCGAACTTGAACGTCAAATAGAACCCACTAATGGAACCCCATGGCCAGCTGAAGCCTACTGTCTTTTCTTACCACTTGCTCAATACATTGCTAGATCGACAGAGGTGTGTGAGCTGGGACGTAGCAGGCTTAAACTGTAACTGTAGCAGACTGATCAGCACAAGGGGCCCAATACTGCATTAAATCTTAATAATTTAGCTAGGTAGCAAGACCTTTCTGTGGTAGCTTACTGTCTTAGCACATATATCAATATTCTGGATGCATTTTACCCAAAAGTGATGGTTAAATCATAGCTGGATTCTTGTGGAATTGGCCAACCTCTACTCTTGTATAACTTGGGAACACCATTGGTGAGCTCTGTTTCTGCCCACCTTGATGTCTTCTCCAGCCACAGAATGAGTGTACTCCCTCCGATTTACATTTTCTGTAGAAAATAATAACCCAACCCCATTAACTGCCACAAGAACGGTTTAGTTTTAAGAAACTGAGTGTATAGATCGCACCACCAGAACCTTTGACATTCCCAAATGTTTAAGTCTAACGTTCCAACATCTATCAAATACTAAGGCATTAGTTTTAAATGAACTGACCTTTTCAGTTGTCTAGTGGAGAGCCAGAGAGAAATACCTTATTTGGGGCCCACAATGGAATGATTGGAATCTCCCTGCACATTTATTTTGTATTTGTGTTGGGTGTAATTCTTATCATCTGCTGATGACCCTCTACACATCCTGATCTTGCCAGATGTTTGCATGTGATTTCTGAATCATTGCTTTCAAATTGTATCCAGTGTACATACCCCCAAAGCGTCCAGCTACTCAATGTTTACTGCTTTTCATTTCTACAGCAAAGATGTCTCACACTTCCCAGAAGCACCGGGACTTTGTGTCTGAGCCCATGGGCGATAAACCAATTACAGCAATAGCCGGTATTGGAGAAGTTCTTGGCAGCAAATTAGAAGAACAAGGATTTGATAAGGTAATATGAATGTGAATATTTCATCATTCTTTTCAGTTTATAATGTAGCAATGTATTTTTCATGCATGTCTATTAGCTGTCGAATCTGGTATACCACCATGTGAGACTTTTTTGTTTTCAGTCATAGTATGATAATTTAGGGGAGGCAGATACTTACAGTACAAAGTTTACAACTATACAAGACACA